CCCTCCACCTCCTCCTCCTCCCTACGAGTCCCTCTCTGGACACCGGTAGGGCTCCGCTCTCTCCCTCTCTCTCTCTCGCTATCTCATTTCTCGATCTTTTGGTGGTTTATGCGTCCGTTACAGTGAGATTCGCGGCGAGGAGGTTTCCCAAGAGGCGGCCATTCGTCTCCTTTACGTGCCGCTGCTCGAGGGATACGCCTGCGTGGCCGGAAGAAACCAGTGCTGTCTCTCCCGACGGGAGGAGGTGGTTCTTGGGCTTTCTCCTCGCTTCTGGTGAGCACAAGTTCTTGATCGCTCCCTCCTTGTGTGAAATGGGAGATCGTGAAGATTGGCATGTTTATGTACTTTGATGGGAATAGTTAGGGTCTGAAATTTTGCTCCTGGATATATGCCACTCCAAGAAACAGGTTATTTTGATCCAAATTTGGGTTTTTCGCTTTTGCTATAGTGCTTGAGTTTCTTGAAGACTGGAACTTGACAATTTCCCATTCCTTTTGAATGAAAAGCTCAATATGTGATCAGATAAACTGTTTGGATGAATCTGAAAGTGTTATTAACTAGGGGAAGAATCTAAAGCCTACGAAAAGGAAACAGAATACCAGTGTTACTGTATGTAGGATATGCCATCGAATAGATAATTTTGAAGTGTTATATATGGTCAAGGGATCCGTAGCTTATGCATGTTAAACCTAGAAGATGATTGTCTTGGAGGAATCATTAATTCAAAATTATTAATTCACAATCTGAGAAATATAAAAGACGGTTTAAATTGCATAATCTTGAATGGTTATTATTTCTTGTTGTAACGTAGTAGTAGATAATTTTGTGGGATGATCTGAAATTAAAATTATAGATGCATGATAATTCAGACCATGATTGCTTTCCAGGGAGATTTCTGAATCTATTGCATAGATTAGAACACTGAACATTTGGCTATAGAAGTGATGTTATCATCATAGGACGTTGGCATCTGAATTTGTTGTCGCTTAGATTTAGAGATACAGAATTGATTGTGGTAGAGACATGGTGGTTTTACCTCAACACTACTACACCAACAAAGCCGTAAAGTCCCAATTGGTTTTACCTCAATACTGATATCAAATTAGTTTTTAGTGTCTCAACTTTTAATGTAGAGATAATGTATCATGCACACCCATCTTCATTTTTCTCTTCTGTGTGATAATTAACTAATCTTGGTCTTACGTTATTTCAGCTTCCGGACTCAATTTTTGTGGCGATGCTGAATCTGTATCCTCCAGCAGGAGAGCTGTAAGAAAACCTTAGTTCATTGCTTTTTTTTTGTCAACAAGGAGACCGTATTGAAATTTTCTGTTGAGTTTTTTATCTCTCATTCCTCTACAGCTTAGATCGGCAAAGGTTCCTGAGACCGAATATACTACTCTACCAAATGGCCTCAAGTTAGTAACAGCCATTCAACTTATGTTATAGCCTTATCGTTCTCATAAACAATTGTAGATCTGTAGTCAGTTTAAGACTGTAATTTAGAAGAAATAATGCCTTTTCTTTTCATCTTGGTATTCATTATTGAAAGTGGATTATATTATATTTCATATGTGTGTTTACACATCTTTTGACTAAAATGAGTTCTTCCGTATTTACTCGCCTCATTTGCATGTGTATTTTCTATTGTCTAGTTCTTTCATTGTTTTGAGCTTTTCTTGAATGGTGATGGATTTTATTTGTCGTAGTTAGTTTACTTTATAAAACCAAATATTAAGGAGGTGAATCATTAGTTTTGATGAATTGGATCAAGATTGTGATAATAACATCTGGGGTGCCAACAGCAGTACTATGAATTGGGATGTAAAAAACTGTATCACTGTTTTGACGGGACAAGTGATCTGAGACCCAGCAACCATGATACATTATATATTAAAAAGAAAGACAATTATCATAAAATTGACTTATAATGCAATTTGATTCGGAATGAAGGGAACTATAAATGGTTAATCATTATTCCACAGGACAACTTGGCTTTAAGCTACTAAAGCATGTTGAATTTGCTTTAGTAGCTTTGAGCTCATGGATCATAGTATGGGTTGGCAATATATCTCTTTTGCATATGATCACATATATGGAAATTTTTTATTATTTCAAGACATCAAACTATTACTATCCTTTTGCATATTTGTCACAATCTTGTTTAATTTTGTTTGCAGTTTCCTCTTTTTGTAAGTTCAGAATATACATATTTTGCCATGTGAACTGTTTCCAATTTTCCTGATCTTATTACCGCCTACTAGGTACTATGATATAAAGGTTGGAGGTGGACCTAAAGCTGTGAAAGGATCACGAGTCACTGTATGATTGTTGTCCCAAGCATTTTCTGTGAACTAATTATCTTTTGCCAATTAGAAATAAAGATTATGATATTTGAATAAGTCAGTAACCATGGTGACAATAAGAGATTTTTTGTCTTGGAGGATGCTATTGATGAGAGTCTGGTATATCAACATATGTGTAGTTAATAACAGAAATTAATAGCAAACAAATAGCTGTTTATGTATATTGATCATTCCTTGTTCTTATTTGAGTGGTAATAGTATATTCTAAAGAGAAGTTGTCAACAAATCAAGACTTGCATATCTTATATTATTGAGCTGTACCTTGTCAGTTAGAATAGAAGCTTAATTGTCGAGCATATCCAGTAATTGAATATTGACATTCTATTTTAATAGATCTGTGGAAGAAAACCTTGTTCTTATTCTCGTGGTATACATGTTTAATCATATATTCTAAAGGGAAGTTGTCAACAAATCAAGACATGCGTAATTGTGTATTGAGCTGTACATTATTGAGCTGTACTATGTCAGAATAGAAGCTTGATTGTCAAGCATATCCAGTAATTGTGTGTTGACATTATCTTTTAATAAATCTATGGAACTAGACTTAAAAGTTTTCTCTTAATATATGTCTTGTCAATATTCAAATAGTTTATATGGTTGGAACATGCAAGTTTGTTGAGGTTAATCTTTTAATAAGGATAATATAGCTTGCTTTAACACACCTTTTAGATGATAGTTGCTCTTGAGCTCTTTCTATACAGTCCCCGTGCATTACTTCTAACTAGGTTTCTGTCTTGAGAGCCTTGACGCATCATGCCATTCTACTGTTTCGCAGCATCTAATATAGATGTTATTTAATATATATTTAAAGTATGGGATCTGCACACGTGTTAAGGGCCATATGTGATTCACTTTCTTAGCAAAGTGGCCTAAATGAACTACTGAAGCTTCTATTTATCTCTTGGAAGTTTCGAATCTATATAAAACATTGCATGTAATTTATTGCTCATTCAATCAGTTCACATCATTTTGTTCATGTCAGCCTTCTAAATTTCAGATATCCAACCTGCTTATATGATGCTATTTAGACTAAAAATAAAAGATTCACACTTTATTTCTTCATCTCGTCCTTCCGATTTCCTTTTATGCTTCATGCTTTTAGTTTTTTACAAGATGAATGAAAGTTCAATTTCTCACTGCAGTTACATTATGTCGCCAAATGGAAGGGCATAACATTTATGACGAGTAGGCAAGGGCTTGGTGTCACTGGTGGAACGGTACTCTTTGCAACTCTTCTATGGTTTTAGTTCTTTGACAATTGATACATTATAGTAACTGCCATCCGTATCTGTGTATTGTGACAAAACACAATAAATATTATGCTTTTTTTTAGTTCTTCTATGCTTTTTTTTTCGGTAGTTTGAGTTGGAAGTGACAAAACCTATAGGAAATTTTATGCTACTACAAATATTTGCATCTGATTAGTTTACCTACAATTTTATGTAGTGATGAATGACTAAAGCATCACTAATTGCAGCCCTATGCTTTTGATGTTGGTCAATCTGAGAGAGGAGCTGTCCTGAAAGGTTTAGATTTGGGGGTCGAAGGAATGAGAGTGGGAGGCCAGGTCTGTATTTTCTGTTGTTTAATTTAATTATCTTACTCGTTCAAAATGATTTCTGTGCACTTATACCTTTTTGCTGGAATATGGACAACCATATAGTTTTTACCTTACAAGATTGTAGAATGTGTATCTTCTGGATCCTTGAATAATTGCATTCCATTTTATCAGAAGTGATCCGCATGGAGTTAATTTTAGATAAGCTTGAGAACTCAATAGTTTTCTCATTTTACATGTGCCCAGGTTCGTACCAATGCAGGTTTTAGGGAGGGGCAATATATGCTATCTGACTAAACCATACCTTACCACTAAATATAGTGAGGTTGTTTATTTCTTTCCCTATATGGTGTCCTAAAAATTACTGCTATGAGTGACTAAAACCACCATTGGCCTTAAAATAATAATTCATTTATCAATATCATATATAATACAAAAGCAAACTGTTTGACTAATAAGCTAATGTAATAGTTTAGTTGGTTTAGTCTTGCTTGATATTTGGGTGCATGATAATCGTTCTCATGAATTTGTTTATCTTGACTTGGAAGTTTGTAACTTTAAGCTCTGCTTCTGTGCATTTTTTTATCGGTTTCTGGTTATATACATAGGAGGCCCTCTCTTTTTTTTTTTTGTTAGATGGTAACTCTTATTCTCGTATATATTCTTGGAACTTTGGGTCATGTCTTCATTTCAGTTTGAGAAATTGATAATGTCCTCAATGATGACAAAAAAAAAGGGTAGACAATGGGGAAACAAAGATTGTAGACTAGTAGACTGAACCAAACAGATGTTTAATTAAACATATTTTTGGACCTAATCTCCTTTCCTTTGGAAAGCAATTTATGATCAAGCTTCTGGAGTTTAAGAAAATTGACAGCCTTTGGTAATTGATTCTGTTCAATCAGTATACTCGAAATGGTTTCTGAGTGCTTTTGGTTCATTTACTAACTAATGGTTACATAAACTTCAGAGGTTGTTGATAGTTCCTCCTGAGCTGGCTTATGGAAGTAAAGGAGTCCAAGAGATCCCTCCAAATGCGACAATTGAGGTTAGCAGAAAATCCCATTTAAAGCCATCAAGCTAATTATCTATTCTTTCCTTGTGATATGTCCAAAAAAATAAATCCTTAAGAATGATATAAATCGCATAAAGTTCTAGGAAATGATTTTCGATATGAAACTTGAAGGCAAAACTAATAGCAAGTTCCCTGGACATATTTACACAATCATATTTCTAATTGGTAAGGTGAAGGCATACCAGTGTTTCTTTAATCATTCTTAGAATGATTCAGTCACCTTTTTGACTTTCTTATCATAACATTCGCAGTTGGATGTTGAACTACTGGCTATCAAGCAAAGTCCATTTGGGTATGTTCAGTCGCAAACATCCTTTCATCCTTCTTGCCATGTTTCCTTTCTGCCTGTAGCCTCACAATTTGATGGTTGCGCAGGTCGGGTGTGAAGCTTGTTGAAGGCTGAAAGTGCATGCCCCTATTGTTGGTTATTGGATCTTTCACTTTCAAGCTACACCAATTTCCTCTTTTGTTTTCCTTTTATCGAAGAAGGTTCAGATCTCCGCTGGTTTGCAACTTTTATTTGGTCTCTCTGATCCTTCTTTATGTGTATATGTGGCTCTCCTCATATGATGCATGAGGTTCTGCTATGCCCATAACTCATAATTATCACTTTCATCAACCTGTGTTTTCGATGGTGCAATTTGGGCATTTTGATTTCAAGGAAATAGAATCGTGGGCATCCTTATACACAGTATATTGTGTAATGATTTCATGTGGGGCTTTACAATGGTGTGCAATTTTGGCTTGTCTTAGAAGGTTAGCTTGATGCACACTCTGGGACAAGATCATGCAATATGAGATCAGAGGCTGATTCCTGCAGTAACCTTACCGGTACCTTCAAACTCAACTTAGAACTGAGTAAATTGTTGATGTATCACCTCATCTATATGCTCATCTGTATTCTTCATATGCCATCTGAAATTATTAGTATGTGAAGCATAAAGTGTGAGTAGTTCATAACAAAAGTGTAGCAGAAACTTGAAAGAAAGGTTGATGTATTACCTCATTTATATACTCATCTGTACTCTTCATATACCATCTGAACACTATCTGAAATGATTAGAATGGAGTGAGTAGTTCACATCAGAAGTGTTGCAGAGACTCGAAAACTGTGAAGCCTGATGATGAAAGCAGGAGCTCATATCTTTAGCATTAACAATCAAAAGGATGACAACGGAATCACTCTCTCAGATGAGGTTATGCTTCAGCCACTATTATCTTTTGTCATTTGAAATCAGCATACAGCTTCGAGGGAAAGAGGAAATGGAGGAGCGGTTGGTGGCCGCCTCAATCACTGACCTGTTGAAGACACCAAAGCTCACTTTTGCTTTTTACGAGTGCCATCCCCAGCTATGCTCCTCACACTCCACTTCGTAAGTGCCCCACTCATCTCTAACTTTTCCACCTCCTCATCGCCCCCCGTCATCTCCGCGCCACCACCGGCGCTTGGCGAGGAAGAAGAGAAGAACAAGTGCGGTGAAGCCATGGTTCCGATTCTGGTGGCTGCTGTTCAAGTGTTAGCCGGGCTGGTGGGGGTGTCAGAAGGGCAGGGGCTGGTCCCTGGTGTCATCATCTTCGGCGACTCGACCGTCGACGTCGGCAACAACAACCACCTCCTCACTCTCGTCAAGGCCAACTTCCCCCCCTACGGCAGAGACTTTCCCCACCACTCACCAACCGGAAGGTTTTGCAATGGCAAGCTTGTCACTGACTTTGTTGGTATGCATCCGACTCTTCCTCTCCATTCTTTCTTTTCATTACCGCGAGTCTTTCTGTGAACTTTACATACACAATCTGCAGTCGAGGTCCTTGGATTCACGACACACCCACCGGCCTATCTCAGCAAGGAGGCTACAGGAAACAACCTCTTGAACGGTGCCAACTTCGCATCTGCGTCTTCTGGATACTTGGATGCTACAGCAAGTCTCTATGTGAGTGGCTTCCTGAATCCTTGTCATGTTGCAGAGGCCGGAATGATTAGGCGATGGCCGTGTCTTTTTGGCAGCAAGCAGTCTCTCTGACACGGCAGCTACGATACTTCGAGCAGTACCAGGCGAAGGTGAAGAGCATCGCGGGGAAGGCGACCGCGACGGCTCTGTTCGCGGATTCCATCTACGTGCTGAGCGCCGGAAGCAGCGACTTCCTTCAGAACTACTACATCAATCCCTTGCTCCGTGCGATTTATAGCCCGGATCAGTTCTCCGGCTTGCTGCTGCAGTCTTTTACCACCTTTGTTCAGGTCTCTTCTTGATGCTAAGATGAAAGCATTCACGTAGCCACATCTACTCCTTGTGCTTCCGTCTCTTCATGCAAACTATCGGAGATCACATTCTTATGCAAAGAAAGCCGGTAGTTCCTGTTATTGTTTTGATCTCTGGTTACCAGCATTCACGATGAACTCCTCCATGGATCAGGAGCTGCACGACATGGGAGCAAGACGGATCGGGGTCACGTCGCTGCCTCCGATCGGCTGTCTTCCTGCGGCCATCACGCTGTTCGGCGGCGGCGACGGCGACGGCGACGCCTGCGTGGCGCGGCTCAACGACGATGCGGTTGCCTTCAACGAGAAACTCGACGCAGCAGCTCGGGCCCTCAAAAGGAACCACGCCGACCTGAAGCTGGTCGTCTTCGACGTCTACGGCCCTCTGCTGAAGCTGATCCGCAACCCCGCAGACGGTGGTACGCATCTCCTCCTCCGCCCATTGCATGGTAGTTTCTTGGGCGCATGAAGGCGAATGACCTGTAAAGTTGTGGATGGCAAAGGTTTCTTGGAAGCACGGAGGGCGTGCTGCGGGACGGGGACGATCGAGACGTCGCTGCTGTGCAATGCAGCGTCCCCGGGAACATGCGGCAACGCCACGGGGTACGTGTTCTGGGACAGCTTCCATCCCTCGGAGGCGGCGAACAGCGTGTTGGCCGACGCTCTTATCATCCAAGGCATTGATCTCATCCTCTAAGATACTGCTGTGTAATCTGGCTATCTATCTCTGCTTTCATATCATGATCATAAATCTCTCTCTCTCTCTCTCTCCGCCTAAAAATAAAGAAAGAAGCAGACGACCACATTGTCCAATTTCTCAGACGTTGAAGTTGCAACAAGATGACGGTGGGGTGTATGATGAATCACCATCATCACAAGTGACTACTAGGAATAACGTAGTCTAGTGCCTCCTGCATCACGAACTGGTATAAAGAGGCCTAACCAAGATTTGATGATGGATGATAGGAGTCGGAGATGGTGACAAGGAAGTGACAAACAACTGACCATGCAGCCACTAATTCTGATTTATCGAACCTTACATCGGTTGGACTCAGTCAACCTTTTATCTGACACCTAAACTTATTACTTCGTATTCAAACTTGTAGCCCAATCAATCACTTTCACCGAGTTTGCAGATACTTCCAAGTAGCGAACACAAAGATGAGGAACAAAATCTAACATGTATTAGCATAAATATAGAAAGACAATGTTCAGTCCTAACATGTAGTAGCAATGTGAATGAATAACGAGTATGGGAATGAAAGGCGTTGAAAAGCCAGAAGAAATGGGATAAATGAGCATGACCACTTATACATACAGATCCCAGATGATAGTATTATCCATCACGTGGAAGATCCTGCTGACGGTCTTTATTTTTTGGATGAATATGCAAATTTGTTGATGTTGATGGGCGCAACAGTCCGCCTTCATTTAAAACAAAACAACAAAAATTGCGGATCATGCAGTGGAGATAATCTTAGAAACACATTCGAATGATTGTTCAGATGAAGCTTAGAAGACATACCTTGAAGAACATGTATTTTGTACATCTTTTAGCGGGGCACGAAGGCCACTTGCACGTGAACCTGATGAAGTGTATCTGTAGGACGAAATGAGCGCAACAAATTTTTCCATTGATTTCTCTGCTATACCAGTGTAGTTGTTCAGGTGCGAAATATCGCATCCAAATTTTCCGTTCTCCTGCATCTCTTTGCCTTTGTTATTCGAATCAGAAGCTTCGCTATCTGCAGGATAAAAAAACATCCAAGGGTAATGTAACACTTTTGAAATCAAAACATACATATTTCTCAAACAAATATTGAGGATTAGTTTCCTCCTCAGACCCAATTCACTTAAGGAACTTGAGATTGAAAAGAGGATCAACTAAAGTAAGTTTAATGTTTTGATAAGCTGAAATGTTTAACTCGCTTGAAAAAAAATGTTAACATAAATCACAATATGGAGTGACTGGTCAGAGCATCAACTAGTGATATTGAATGAAATAAGCAATGGAATGTTAAATGACATGCTTTTATGTTTTGAATGCCATAAAAAAGAAAAAAGGTCCAGTTGCAAGTTCAGGGGTATATCTATTAGATCTAAGTGAAATCTCTAGCAACCCTAAAACATCTAAGGCCTTTATTCTGATATTTTAAAAAACATCTAAGCAATCAAGTTTTCAGCTTTCATAATATGATACATTTGGGATGAACCAAAAATCAGGATAAACACATGACAAGTGGTTGCAAGTTAAATAACTATCCACAAGGGTAGATTACATAGTCAATTAATACAAAGCATCAAATAAAAAGAGAGCCATTGCAGACCATAACTAAAGTCATATACTACTAATTTCTTTTCCATGAAATCATAATTAAAAAGATGAGAACAATACATGTAATATTTAATATAAGTCATACATGAATGTGCAATATATTTAAGATGTCATACAACAATAATATGCTGTAATGTCCCAACTAATAATTATAAGATGGCTATTTACAATTTTTTAATACACATTAAAACAGAAGATATGAAAAATTAAAGCAAAAATTACTATATCATAGACCCATGCAAGATAGAATTGATAGAATCCTATGTCAGAATAATTTGTTTACGATTGCAAAGCCATTCCAAACCTTCTTCAAAATAAGTTGAAGTTGTCCGTGCATTCTTCGATCCTAGATCTCCCTGATTCATTAAAATGCATAAGCAAGAGAGCACTTAAAATAAAAGCTACTTAATCTAGGAAACACACAAAACAACAGATGAACACACCAGTTGCTTGTCACTGACATTGACTGACTTTCTTTTCTTCATGCCACTTTTTAGACATGCATTTCCACATGATGCACCATTAGGCACAGGACAATCACAAGAAGTGCAATCGTAATTTTCATTATTAACATTGGTGCCATCATTTTGGTTCTCAGGATCATTGTCATCTGATAGTTTATGCCTAAAATATGAGCTCTTGACGATGACTTTTCTTTTTGTCGACTTTGTCGTGACATCGACATCTGCCATTTGAAGTTTAAAGTCATATTCCTTGTGTGATGTCAAAAATGGTTTACATGTTTCATTCTTCAGCTCTGGCAATAAGGAAGAACATTGCAGATCCTTAAGGTCACCTGTTATGGTTCAGACACAGGAAAAAGTTTTTCATGATTTCTATAATGGTGGCAGATAAAATTTTTCATACTTACTATTCAAAGGTAGCCTGCTAACTTTCTGGCTGTGATTGGTAGACTTATCTTCCATCTGAAAAGAAGAAAGAGTTATGTATTCTTCACGAGAGACTGTAAATGAACTTTAATATTATTTCCAATAATTTTGTTGTATCTCCTACACAATCCTCTGCGGGTAGACTATCATTAGTAGTGATTGCATTGACTGGGGCACGTGCTGCGTGATTATTGATACAAGTAGCCTCTTCTGCTGAACCAAGTGATTCAGAAT